TTTGAACAATTATCCAATATATTTTAATTGCCGACGTAGTTTTCAATTGCAAATGTGATTTTAAAAATTAGGTTATTTCCGCAAAATTGATTGACAAAATTAGGGCAAAAGACGACAACGTGGCAATCCGGGTTAACAGAACTCGGGGCGCTTCATAGACTGTGTAGACTAAAGCAAAAGTGATGACAATCTCCATTACAACACCCTCCGAAGCATTCATGCCAGAAGCAACTCCATGAGTGGGAATAGCCTGCCAAACAACTAATATTAGTATGGTATGAGCCTAGCACAATTAGAAAACTCGAAAAAGCCCATCTCGATTGAACTTAGTTGGGTCTAAAAGCTACTCAAATTCGAGTTGAGTTCAAATAATAATTCTATGTTCTGGTATCAATCTATCAAGGGCTCATTTGATGAGATTTTTGATAAGTCAAAAACTACTCTAAACATATTTGAATATTTTTTAGAAATGTTTTATCTGGCTAGAAGAGATTTTATAGAAAGTTAGCATAGCGTAGTTTCCTCATAAAGTTCTTCTACAAGAAGTAAAAGCAAAAACAGAAACCTACAAACCTTAAAATATCATGTATCAAGTTCAGTTTAAAAAAAATTTTGTCTACTCGAAATGAACCACTCAAACAATTTGAACAGAGGCTCAAAGGTAGAAGTGAATAGGATTTCGAACGTTTTAATGAAGTTAATGTTTCAATGATCAAATCGATTTTACATGAATTTAATCAAGTCAAAGTAGACTATTTAAAGTTACTCAATGTCACATGATTATTTAATAGGTTGAAGTAGACACAATCCACGTATTAAAAAATAGCAAATAAAAGAAAGTTTGTAAATTCAATTAAAATTGATAGTCTTGTCATAGGGGATTAGGTGTAACCAAACTATTGAGGTTTAGAATTTTTAAAAAGTCCAAAAAACTACAAAATTATTTTTAAACATATTTGAATACTTTTCCTAACTCTATACCAAACTTTCTCGAAAAAATCTCCTTAAGAAGTACAAGGTTAGACGGGCCCTTAGTTTGCTAATAATTGGCATATTCTTCTAGAATAAAGCTATTGTGCCAGAAAAAAAATGTCCACCTGGGTGACCTACTTTCACATAAGTGTGGGACCGACGTGGGACCCGCGTGAAATAAAAAATGAAAAA